ATAAAACACCACTGATAAGTGATACGAATTTTCCAATTTACATATACTAGCCTTAGTAAGTAGGAGATCCAAACTAAGGAAGGTGCAAACCAGTTGTTATTGTTTTTTAATGTTTAGTTTTATTTTTGAGAGAGAGCACAAGTGGTGCAGGGGCCAAGAGAGAGGGAGACACAGAATCAGAAGCAGACTCCAGGCTCTGAACTGTCAGCACAGACCCCGACGTGGGGCACGAACTCATCAACTGTGAGATCATGACCTGGGCTGAAGTGGGACACTTAACAGACCAAGCCACCATGAGCCCTCACCCCTAAGTTGTATTTTTAAAGATAACTGAAATTGTATGTGATAACCTCTAATATCAGGCAAAACACTATCAGGGCTCTGATAAATAACACATCATGGACAGTGAGGGCACTGAGAACCTCTACTTAGCATATAGCATAAATTTGTGAAATATTTATTTTAATAATTTACCCATACACATTTAACCTCAGGAGGGTTAAGCATCTCTATTGACTTGATAATTCTTAGAATGCTACTCATCAATAGTAATGTGTCAGATAAACCTAATTATTTCCAGTACCTCTCTTTTCACAAGTTTGAAAGAATACATCTTTGTGATGCTCCAGAGCTCCTCTGGGGCGTCTCAAAGATAGTTTTAGGTGCAAAGATAAAATGAGTATTTTATTTTACATTTAGGCTTTTGAGGAGGCAAAAAAAAAAAAAAAAAAAGTCAGTAGATTAGCACACTTAGGATACAAATAGGACCACGGGTGCCAGACAAATAGTACTTGGCTGCTCATTTCATAGTGATGATAAAACTTACAAACAGGGGCTCCTGGGTGGCTCAGTTGGTTAGAGGTGTCTGACTTCGGCTCAGGTCATAATCTCCCAGCTGGTGGGTTCTAGCCCCTCATCAGTCTCTGTGCACACAGCTTTAAGCCTGGAGCCTGCCTCAGATTCTGTGTCTCCCTCTCTCTCTGCCTCTCCCCACTTATGCTCTCTCTCAAAAATAAAAAAAATATTTAAAAACTTAACACACATAAAAGGTAACGTAACTTGTTAAGAACCTGAGCTCTCAAAGAAGTCATCTCAGGACTTAAAGCATATAAAGTTATTGTGATAAGCCACAGAACCTTTGAAATCTAGGCAGATTAGACAAAAAGATATTGAGGCAGGGAACAGTGAAGTAATGAAACAAGCCCACCCAAACTGAGCAAATTTTGTGAAGATAGTAAACATTTCATAGCTTTTCAGACTTATTTTTTAGACATGTTGTAAGGCAAATAAAAGTTTGTGGGGTTTTGTTTTGTTTTCTTGCCAAATCTTACATAACTTTCTGTATTCATACAGGTTATATCCTTCACCATTTTCTTTTCATTCTGGAACAGTTATTTAATAACTGTAAATATGGGGACAGGACATGGGGACATCATCAAATGTGGGGCAACCCAATCAGGCAGAGGCCAGTGGTGTAAGAGTTTGCCTAAGACAGAACAGAAGATTATTGAATACATTGCAAGGGAGCAGCAGTCAGGACAGCAAAGGAGAGACTGTCTGCTATGAGGTGGTGGTGGGGGCCACAGTTACAGGGCAGAGTGGGGGAATATGGAATTTTCCCTTTTTTGGTAATCTTCAGAACTGTGCCTGGTTGTAATTGGTCAGTTAGGGCCTATGTCTGTTTAGAGGTGGGTCAGTTAGTGAGCCAGTTTGCATTCAGCTCTGTGGTCGCTGTGGGCCATTTTGCCTTGATCAGGTTTCCAGTGTTCAAGTTGGTTGCCTAAAAGCAGCCTCTGTACTAACTGTTCTCTTTTTCCATTACCTTGCATATCAAGTTCTACCACTTTGCCACTATTGCTCCTAGAATTTGATTCATATATATTAATTATATCTTTTAACCAAAGTTACTTTGATTTCATAGATAAAACTGAGATCATTGAAAACTGTTACACACCAATATTTTTGTAAACTAGCAAAACTTAGAAATTCACATAACAACAAGCTACCGAGGCGTCCCTGGAAGTTAATTTTCAGTGTGACCTACTACAAAAACTTAATTACTGTTAAAAATACCAGAATAATGAATCATTTTGGATAAACACAGATTTCTATGTTTTAGGATTGTAAACATTAAGCAGAAGTAATACTAGCTTATTCTATCAGTAAATTTATAGATGTTTAGAAAGAACATCTAAGTAGAATAAAGATCTGTGCTTGTGTTATATTTAACACTATTAAAGAAAACATAGCTGCTTTTTATTAAATCAAAATTACTAAATGTATCTTATTTGCCAAAGATTCCACTGTATATTTTTTAAAATATTTATTGTCTACACCCAATGTGGGGCTCAAACTCAAAACCCAGAGAACGGGAGTTGGCTGCTCTTCCTACTAAGCCAGCCAGGCACCCCACATTCATCTATGTTAGTTTAAGCTTGAATTCTTAAACACTCCTTAGGTCTTTAAGATAACTTTTTTAGGGGCACATGGGTGGGTCAGTTAAGCACCCGACTCTTGATTTCAGCTCAGGTCACAGTCTCACAGTTTGTGAGTTTGAGCCCTGAGATGGGCTTTGTGCTGATGGTGTGGAGCCTGCTTGGAATTCTCTTTTTCTCCCTCTCCTTGTGCTGTGTGTGTGCTCTCTTTCAAATAAATAAACTTAAAAAAAAAAAAACACTTTTTAAAAATCTATCACACTAAGAATTTCCTTATTTTCTAAGAATTTTAGGAATTCTTTTTTTTTTTTCTTTCATGTCTGTTTATTCTTGAGAGAGGGAGAGAGCACATGCGAGTGTGCATGCAAGAGGGGAGGGGCAGAGATGTGGGGACAGATAGAGAATGCGTAGTGGGTTCTTTGCTGATAGGAGAGAGCCTGATGCTGGGCTCGAACTCAGGAACCTTGAGGTATGACCTGAGCCAAAGTCGGAAGCATAACTGACTGAGCCACCCAGATGCCCCTAGACTTGTAGGAATTTTTATATAAGCAGTTCTCTATAAGCCAATCAAAACAGAGCCTCTAAAAGAGATTTTTATAATCTAATTCATTAATATCATGTAGAGGTAGAAAAACATTACCCACACATATGTAAAGGCCCTTCTGAATTAATAGACATGCAGACAAACTAATAGTCACAGAGAGCTTATAACTTTAGTTCTAAAATTACAGTCGTGGTTTAACAGTCAACGGAATTACGAAATTCACTAGTCCATACTAAAGAGCTGTTCTCTAATAAGTGACTACAAATTCTTCATTTGTTTGAGTCACATAAACCTCAAAGACCAACAAACCAAATTTTCAGTTTTTCTCCCCCTATTTAAAATGAGAATAGAGGAGGATTTAGGTGGCTCAATTAAGCTTTCAACTCTTGATTTTGGCTCTGGTCATGCTCTCCTGGTTCTTGAGTTCAAGCCCCACATTGGTCTCTGTGCTGACCGAGTGGGGCCTGCTCAGGATTCTCTATCTCCTCTCTGTCCCTCCCCCTTATGCTTGCAAACTCATAAACAAAATGAGAATAGATATCTACAACCATTAATTCACTTAAGGGAGTCATCAAATAATTAGACCATAAAACCAAACATAGTAGAGAGCAAAGTTAAAATCAGAAAAATGGACAGTCAGCAAAATTCTCTTATATTTACCAAGAAAAGACATACCTGGGTTTAAAATAAGGCACACCACTTCTGGTGCTTTGGTTGGTGGATCTATTATTAGGTGTCTCAAAGGGGCTTCCATAATTATTAAAAGAATATTTCCTGAAAAGATAAAAACGTGACTCTAATATAGATATAAATGAACATTTTTAATAGAATTTATCTTTCTCATGAAATAAGGGAGCCAGGCAGATGTTGTAACCAATTCAAAGGAAAAATCAGTATGGCACAAATTTAAAGGAAATTTGAGACGAATTAGAAATGGAGACAAACTTTTTTTTTCCGGGGGTGGGGGGGTGGGGTGGGGAGGAGTCACCAGACAGAATTTATGTATCTATTACAGTTGGCTCTCGTTATTTGTGATAATTACCATCTATAAAGTCCTCACAAACACATTAGCAAATACGGAAATAATGCTCCTAGTAAAATACAAAGTTAGATTCCTGCAAGCCCCCGATCACACTCTTTTGTTAACCAGTCAATACATAACCTTCTTAAAATGTGATTCCATTCAAATTTTAGAAACACCTAATTTAATGTATATTGTTGATTTCATGAACATTGAACTCATAACTAGCAGTGCTGTAACTTAAGCCTGAATGAAGTTTACCTGATACACATATTGATCTATCAGAACCTTCTTGTTGCTGGGAACACTAGAAAGCACTGAAGCATATATTGTGGAGCCATTAAAAAAATTTTTTTAATGTTTTTATTTATTTCTGCGAGAGACACACAGAGAGAGAGAGAGCAAGCTTGTGATCAGGGGAGGGTCAGAGAGGGATGGAGACACAGAATCAGAAACAGGCTCTAGGCTCTGAGCTGGCTGTCAGCCCAGAGCCCAATGCAGGGCTCGAACCCAGGAACAGTGAGATCATGATATGAGTGGAAGTCAGACACTTAACCGACTGAGCCACCCAGGCGCCCCTGTGGGGCCATTTTAAACAGCAAAATTCTCAACAAGGAGAAAAATGCAAAAATTGTGGTTGTAAATAGAATACAAAAAAGACCCTTGTTTACATTATGAGATCTGAAACAAGAAGGCACAGAAGAACATTACCTTTCTTGACCTCAGCTGGAAACATGTATGTTAGGTGAGTCAAATTTTCAAGGCTCTGTGCATGTCACTAATTACTATGGAAGGCATCATGAATATTGTTGGGATTACAAGTAAATTTTAGTGAGTAGGCAAATTCACAAATACAGAATCCACAAATTATGAGCATTGTTTGTACCTACATTTTACAGGGTTTCAAAATGAAGACCATGATCAGGGCTGAGATCTGGTATGCTATAGATACTACATAATTTTCTAGTGAAGCCCCCAGTTTTTTCTACATAACTCTTTCTTCTCAGTTCCCAGTCCTAGGTACTGGCTGCCTTGTAGGCAGGGAAATGTTCAGCTGGACTCCTGACGCGTTGAGGCTCCTGAGAGACAAAAAGAGACGTGTTAGAGGGGATGGGGGAGAGATAGATTTCCTCTTGGAGGTCTGAAATAATTTTTCTCTTGGAGATCGTGTTATATATGCATGGTGGCTTATTGAGGGGCCTAGTGTACTATGGGTTAAATGAGACTTGGAAATCCCTCTGCACAGACCACACCCAGACCAATTACATTAATATCTCAGTGATTTTTGGACATTTACCACTGTTATATAGTTCCTTTCTCTAGAAAAAATATGTTCTCAATTTCTAATGACTGATTTTCACATGTACTTTTGGAACACAAACCAGTTTGTTTTGTGGCAAATTCTGAATAATGTGGTTCCAATTACTGCTTTGGAAATAAAAATAATACTGCATAGCATATAGCAACTATATTATTTGAAAAGATAAAATTTAAGGGGGCCATTGACTATCACATCAAAGGTGGGATTTTATTTTGAGGTGTTGCAGCTGTGGCAGGTGTAGGGTGTTACTGATCTAATAAATATTTCAGGTGCCTCACATTTTTACCTTATTTCCTTGTTTAAATAAGTTCATATAATTTTTGTGGACAGAATTGCTTTGCTAGTGTATCCCAACCTTTGTTATTCTTCTCCATGATATTTTCTAAAAGAAGATCTAAGATACTTTCAAATTAATCTGAACTCCCCCCCCCCCGCCCTTGCCCCCCAGCAATATAAGTTACTAGGGAATTTAAAAGTAGAGGGACTTTTAAAGTGAAGTTCCTCAAAGGCTATCAACTTTAAATTATATTTTAAAAGTTTATGCTTTGCTTTTACTCTGGCATAATATGGGTACATATCCTGGTGAGGAACTTCGAAACCTTCCAAGGATCAACATACCTTGCTTTGGCTTCACAAAGCCTTTGCTATTCTGATCCCATACCTCTGTTAGCAATGACTGCTAGTTATGTCAGTTTGTGCCAAATTATGCTGTGCTTCTTGCTTTATACACAGATGGACAGTAGGAAAAATCATTAAACTGTTTACTTCCGAACTAATGTCAGGGTTTGAGATTAGATTGTTACAGGTGAAAGACATTTTATAGGACTTGAACCAAAGTTATTAGAGGTAACGTATTTCACAAGCAATAAAAGCTCCAATGAAGAGTTTGCATTACTGAACCATAAATAAAATGGTTCTGTAAATAAAACTGAATGGAATTTTTATATCTCATACATAGAATTCACAAGTTAATTGTTGTGGGCTGGTTTTGTTTGGAGGTCTTATGTGGTTGGCTTTTGAGTTTTGGGCCTTGGGCTTTTTTAGGTACATTTAAAAGATTACCCCAAACATTCACATCATAGCAAGTAGAGTTATCTCAACCACAACCTGGAGATCAACAAAATAAATGGGCGTGTTTCCAAAAAAGAAATTAAGCATGAGATATTACAGGTCACATTTTAGGTTTACTAGAGTATTTGCCAGAGGTACCTCTCTGATACTAGGGCTTAAAGATGAAAATATCTTTGTGAAAGCATTCCAGTGTGTGAAACAGCAAAGGGAGTCAGCTTCTCATCATTTAGGTGCTGGTGGTTGGATTTGTGGTTAATCTGCGCCATATGGCTATGCTCCATAGTGGGAAGTGACGGCAGCCTTAGGAGCTTACCCCATCCCTGGGGCAGCTGCTTTGGACTCAGTTGCTTTGATAGTCTTCTGTTGCACAGCTGGGAAGAGTAAGGGGTGGTTTTTAGTGTCCTAATAGAACAACATATTGGGACCACTGTTATAGACTTACCTTGATTTTGTATAAATAAGCATTCTTCAGAGAGTGCAGGTGTTTTCACTTCCATGATCTCATTCAGAAACTCAAGTTTGAGTTCTTTAAAACACCTAGTGTTAAGAAAATTCTTACAGAAATTTAAACGTTTCACAAATAAAATTCCATTCTTAAATTTTTATGTTGTATTTCTTACAAGGTATATTATGTTCTTTTTCTTCTTTCTTTTCAAGAACTGTCAAATAGAAGGTAGAAAAGATGAGCATAATTCATGTATTTTGCCCATTAAGTACAAATGTTTAATGTCTTTTCAAGTGTTGTTATTCTTAGGGTTATTTTTGTCTTTTTAGTGAAGGCTCACTCCTTGCTCCAGTAACCTTCATGTTACCACATTGTTATAATAAATAACTTGGGAAAGGTTGTCATGAAGTATAGTGGAACCAGTAAATTTGTTTATCCAGACATTATAAGGTAAACACTTTGGAGAAGGATGCTTGGAAATGTGGTCAGGCTCTCAACAGAATTCCCCAAAAAAGAGCAAATTCTCATCATAGCATCAGATCTATGTTTTCTCTGTGATGGATAGAAAATCCAAAAGGAGACTTACGTAGATTCTTACTTGAGTTTGTCTCTTGAGTTATCGTTAGATTTCCTCCTACCCTTTCCTTTCACTTAATCAGAGAAACTTAGTTCCTTGTGCATCTTTGAGAACAAAATTATTTCCCCAGAAAAATGTGAGGAAAGAGACTTTTTCCCTTATATACATCCTTACAATCACGGGTGGCTATGGTAGAGCAATAACATAGAGATGGACACTGTTAGCAAATGCTGGTTTCTTCCATGTGTATTTTTGTTTGTTTTCCCAGGGTGTTTTGCCCATCCACATTCCGATCCCTATAATGATACTTCTATTTATTGTTGTTATCACCATCAACAGCAACTATAATCTGGCTCACAGTTTCCAAGAGCCAGGTCACTCCTTAGTTACCAGGAGAAAACCCAAACCAGTTGTCCTTTTATGTGTACAAAATCCCAGTCTTCTCACATTGCAGTGACACTGACAGCATTTTGAGACTTCATGAACAAAACAGATAATAGAGCTATGTCTGCATTCTGATGCAGTAAAAACTTTTTTTCTCCCTGATGTTTGACAGATGAACCATGTAAATGAAAGTAATTATCAGGTATGTGTCCATGTATAATAATGTCTTTATTGGGCAGGAGTGTGTGTTGGGAGGAGCCGGCGGAGGGGGGGGGTGGAGTTGCAGGGAGCATAAGGACTCTGGCCTATCACTTGGCAAGAAGAGATCATGGAGGCCTTGGGTAAGTGACTTACCAACCGTCAGTATAACCAGACATAGAATCTTCACTGGAAGCGTTTTCCTTTCTCCACAACTCGGGTGGGTATGGGGGGACATGTATGAGGGACATAGACTTACTTTCCAGGCATTCCTGAAACAGTCTTTTCAACACATTTCTAAAAATCAAAGGAGAAAAAATTACAAAATCAAAAGGTTGAAAGGAAATGGGTGAAATAGATAAGAATTGCAATTACAAGATGTTTCTAAAGAAAAGGTTTTATTTATGAGGTGGTGAGGTGCATAGTTTTAAAGTCAATCTCTGTGAAAACTCTGGCTTTGCCACTTATCTTTGTGGCTTTAGGCTGCTTATTTATCTTTTCTGTGCTTTATTTTCTTTCCCTCATGATTAAATATAAAATTGGGGTATATATAATGCCAAATTCATAAGACAAGCAACCTATGATCTCAGTTTTAAAACTCTATAAAAATACATTGAAAGCGCACTTAGCACAGGATTTAGAACACCAGGGACACTCCTGCCTCCAGGCCTTTGTACTTGTTCTTTTTGCCTGCAATCTCTTTTCCCAGATCTCCACATGGCTAACTCTGACCTCCTTCAGGTCTTCAGTCACGTGTGTGACCTTCTCAAGGAGGGAGGGCTTCCCGGTCTACCCTCTCTAAAGTGCTTTCTCTTTAGCCTATAATATGTATTTTTAAATCTTAGTTATTACTGTATTGGCATCTGATACACTATGCACTTATTAATTTCCCCTGCTAACTTGAAAGAAGTATGAGAATTTATTCACTGCTTTACCTGTGGTATCTAAACAGTTCCTGAACAGAGTATGCAATCCAGAATATTTATTAAATGAATCACAAATGCTTAGTAAATATTGTTATACCTGCTTTATTTCAAGAGTTTTTTTTTTTTTTAATTTTTAATGTTTTTATTTGAGAGACAGAGTGTGAGCGAGAGGGGGGAGACACAGAATCCCAAGCAGGCTGCAGGCTCTGAGCTGTCAGCCCAGAGCCCAACATGGGGCTTGAACCCACAAACCGTGAGATCATGACCTGAGCTGAAGTCTGATGCTTAACCGACTGAGCCACCCAGGCGCCTCAAAGTTTATTTATTCTTGAGAGAGAGAGTGACAGAGCATGAGCAGGGGAGAGGCAGACACAGAATTCGAAGCAGGCTCCAGGTTCCGAGCTGTCAGCACAGAGCCCAACGTAGGGCTTGAACTCATAAACTGCGAGATCATGACCTGAGCCAAAGTTGGACGCCCAACCAACTGAGCGACCCAGGCGCCCCTCAGAGTACTTTTTTTTTTTTTTTTTTAATTTTTTTTAATGTTTTATTTATTTCTAGGAGAGAGAGAGAGAGAGCGTGAGCAGGGGAGGGTCAGAGAGAGAGGGAGTCACAGACTGAAACAGGCTCCAGGCTCCGAGCTGGCAGTCAGCACAGAGCCCAACGCGGGGCACGAATACTTTTTATAGTTAACAGCACCATTTGCTAGCTAATGGAGGAAGTGCTTGAGAAGTTTATAATGTTAATGCTCAGTTCACAGTATTAATATCCTTACAAAATTCCTTTCTATAGTTAATTCAAAATTAATAGGTTCCAATGTGATGGAAATTTTATTTACATTAATACTTCATATAGAAGATATGTAGCTAGAAAGTTGCAAATAAATTTGGGAGAGAGAGAATAGCTGAACATTTATCAGCTGCTTGCTATAAACCACAAGAGACATAGTATTAGTTAAGGCACAGGCTCCCGAATCAGGTTGTATTTGTTCAAATCCTCATTCTGTCCCTTCATGAGTGAGCTTGTGCTACTTCCCTAACCACTCTGTGCCTCAGTTTCCTCAGTTACATAAAGGACATATTAATTCATATAAAATTTTAGGAAAGTACCTTTTACATAGAAGCAATAAATGATTGTTAAGTGCCAGGTGTTTTCTAAGCACTTCACATGAGTAAGCTTGTTTAAACATCTTGACAACCTATGAGGTACGTACTATTCTTGAGCCCCTTAGTACATTTTTTGAAATGCAAATAGCTACTTGTTAATGTTCAGATCCTCTTAAAGTAAAACCGGGCTTTCTGATTTTGTTCCTGTTTTAATGGATTAGAAAGTACTCAAAACTTTACTCTATGAAAGTAAGGTTATGTTTAAGCAAGTGAATCAACATTTTGTCTCCTGGATTTTGAGGATTTATTTTTTATTTTTTATTTTGAGAGAGAGAGAAGTTTTTAATTTTTTTTAAATGTTTTATTTATTTTTGAGAGAGAGAGACAGCATGAGCAGGGGAGACACAGAATGTGAAACAGCCTCCAGGCTCTGAGCTGGCTGTCAGCACAGAGCCCAACGTGAGGCTCGGACCCACGATCCATGAGATCCATGACCTGAGCCGAAGTCAGATGCTTAACCGACTGAGCCACCCAGGCACCCCAAGAGAGAGAGAATCTTAAGCAGGCTCCACACTGAGCCTCCAGCACAGGGATCCCACTGTCTCGGGTAGTAGTATACTTTGATGACTTGATATTCACAGGCTTCACTTTTGTGGCAAAATTGCATTCTAAGGGGCAATTGAAATATAAACTTGGTGGCAGCAAATTCTATACTCACCAAGAGGGACTAGAACTCATAACTCACAAGATCAAGAAGTTTACTTAATTAGACATGTATTATTCAGTTTGGGCATTTTATCCATGGCTACATGATTCGGCCATGGATCACATGTTTCAAGTGGAGTTATTTGAAGAAAGCCTTCAGATAAAATAATAGATTACAGGGATGGAAAATGAATCTTATGGAGTAAAAGTTACAGAGGTTTCTTGGACTAGGGAATAGAAAGATGACTTAATTACATCTTCAAGAAGGAGGATGTTGAATGGTTGCTCTCCATACCTTAGAAGATGTGAATAAACTCCGCTTTTGAAATTATAAAACACTAAGAAGGGGTTTAAAGAGAAGATACAAAGAATAGAATAATTAAGGCCAGTGGTCCTCAACCTTCTATGCATAAAAATGTCCCAGGACCAAAAGTTAAAATATAGATTCCCAAGCCCTTACCAGAAAATCTGATCCAGCAGGCCTTTGGTGAGGGCAGATAATTTGCATTATCATCAAGTATGTCCCTGGGATTCTAAGTAGATAGCACTTGAAGCAAGTGCTGAAAATTTTTTTGTATTTAATCAGTAGCCTGTCAAGGTCCAGAGAGCTGAACCAAGTAACTTTTTATGGTCTGCTGCAACTATGTCATTTGTATAAATAAGTATATAACTATGTTTCCTGTATTGCTTCCAGTGAGATCCAAACTGTTGTAAAGCCACCAGCTTTTAGAAAACAGTGAGACAGGTTATATTGCTTAATGCTCTCTACTGCAGTTATGAAAGAAGTCACATGTTAAACGACTTAAACGATAGAGAAATGGAAAATTTTACACAAGTACGTAACCATTGGTAATTGAATAAGGAATATTGAGCAAGGAGAAGTCAAATCATGGGGTCATACTTTTGAGATATGGTAAATCATCTTCAGGCAATATTTTGGACCCTCTTATCACACAGGATTATAAGGGAACATATTACTAAATATATTTCAGATTGCTGAATTGCATTCCTCATGATAAATGAACATTAAATTTATGAAAGTTAGCTTCTGCTTGCTGTGCTCTTGAAGTATCCTCTTTAATGGTTTCTCTGGGTTTGTTTTTGTTTTCTAGGGTGGAGCTATGACATTGAAGAGAAGAAGGTTCCAAAACCCAAGTCCAAGTCTTATGGTGCAAATTTTTCTTGGAACAAAAGAACAAGAGTATCCACAAAATAGGTTGGCACTGACTATATCTCTGTGCTTGACTGTGAGTAAAGTCAACTGTGCAGTATTTATAGTCCATGTATAATACATTTCTTCATCTCCTAATAAATTCTACCTTTAATCACAGATAAATTTTGTGGTGTCTATTTTAAATGTTTTTTGTTTTTTAAAAAAATTTTTTTTTTAATGTTTTATTTATTTCTAGAGGAGAGAGAGACAGCGTGAGCAGGGGAGGGTCAGAGAGAGAGGGAGTCACAGACTGAAACAGGCTCCAGGCTCTGAGCTGGCAGTCAGCACAGAGCCCGACGCGGGGCTCGAACCCACGAACCGCGAGATCATGACCTAAGCGAAAGTCGGACGCTTAACCGACTAAGCCACCCAGGCGCCCCTTTGTTTTGTTTTTTTAAGTCTCAAAGTAAATGTTACAATTTCCTATATATATAGAGGAGATTTAAGGTGATCATACTTCTAGGTAATTTCAGTCTTTAACATCTATTAAAAAGAATGCTTGAAATCAACAACAACATTTAAGTTTTACACTTGGTTCTTACAGCCATTCTCAAGTTAGTAGTGCTTATAAGAGGTTCCTGGGTGGCTCAGTTGGTTAATCATCTGACTTCAGCTCAGGTCATGATCTCACAGTTTCGGAGTTGAAGCCTTGCTCCAGGCCCCGCCCTCTCCCTTTTGCTTTCTCCCTCCCTCTCTGCCTCCCTCATTCATGCTCTGTCTCTAAAAAATAAATAAAATTTTACAAAATAGAATAGTTAAAAAAATTTTTTTATTCATTTTTGAGAGACAGCAAATGGGGGAGGGGCAGAGAGAGAGACAGGATCAGAAGCAGGCTCCAGACTCTGAGATATCAGCACAGAGCCCATTGTGGAGCTCAAACCCATGAACCATGAGATCTTGACCTGAGCTGCAGTTGGACGCCCGACTGACTGAGCTGCCCAGGTGCTCCTAAAAAAGAGTTCATAAGTTACCAGCCATCATCATTATAATACTGTCTTAGAAATTCTCGTTTTATCGTTGTTTTTTCGTTTTTAATTTCTGAGAGAGAAAGAGACAGCATGAGCAGGGGAGGGTCAGAGAGAGAGGGAGACACAGAATCTGAAACAGGCTCCAGGCTCTGAGCTGGCTGTCAGCACAGAGCCCGATGTAGGGCTCAAACCCACGAACCATGAGATCATGACCTGAGCTGAAGTCGGATGTTAACCGACTGAGCCACCCAGGTGCCCCTCTTTTGTTTTATCTTAGGTTAGAGAAATTCAAGATTACATTGCAGTGATAAATCTCATTACTGAAGTTCTTCTTTAATTATAACTTTATAGCTCAATGTTTGAATTCGAGTGAATTGTGTTACATACTTAAACCCTGCCCAGGATTATACATTCATGACTGTAGTTCAGATGAAGATTTTATATTCTAATGAATTGAAAGACTCCAAGAAAATAATCAGTTCATTGTTGGAGATCTTTTTGTATTCACTATTGTTTTTGTAAAATAGAAGTAAATAGATGCTGTTGCTATGTGCTAATCATTTAGGTCCTCCAATGTGAGTTATCAAGCATTTATTCCCATCAATCTTTTCTTTAAACAGCTTGTACACTAATCTTCATCATAATACTGTTAGGCACTATTATTTCCCTCATTTTCCAAAGACATAAATCAAGGCTTACATTAAGGACTAAATAACCTACTCAAAATTGTCCTAAATGCCAATGCTGGGACTTGAACCCATGTCTGTCTTCACATCCCATACTTTTAATTAGTTTAGTTATAAAGAAAAAGGACTGATCAATGGCAGATGATTTCTTTGGATTGCAAATAAATTCTTTGATATTTCAAAAGTTATATACTAATTATGTACTTTCTCATGATTATATTTCTTAAAACCACTAATAGCACATTGACCTAGCGCAGCAAAGAAAACACATCGAACTATAAATTTGTACAGTCTTTTGAAGAGCCATAATGGCAGTCTCTTTTCAAAATGTTAACAGTATGTTCCATTTTTAAGTTTATTTTGAGAGAGAGAGAGCACGCACATGTGGGGGAAGGGCAAAGAGTGGGGTCGGGGAGAGAATGAATCCCAAGCAGGCTCCACATGGTCAATGTGGTGCTCAAACTTATGAACGAGGAGATCATAACTTGAGCCAATATTAAGAGCTCAACCAGCTGAGCCACCCAGGCACCCTCTGTATATTCCAATTCTAAAAATCCTCATCTAGACATATAGCCCATGAATATACACAGAAATGAACATACAAAGATACTACAGAATGGTTTCTAATAACTAATAAGTTGGAACACTCCAAATGTTTATTAAAATAGGAATAGAGATAAGTGGGGTATTACGCAGCTGTTACAAACAAGAGGGACACCTGGGTGGCTTGGTCAGTCAAGTATCCCACTGAATGTCAGCTCAGGTTGTGGTCTTCTGGTCTTAAGATCCCATGTTGAGCTCTGACAGTGCAAAGCCTGCTTGGGATTCTTTCCCTCCCTCTCCACCCCTCCCCAACTCGTACACTCCTCTCAAAATAAATATTAAAAACAAAAACAGAACAAGAAAGATCTATGAGCTGTTTGGAATGTTGTTAAAGATATATTGCTAAGTAGAAAAAAATAGCAATAGAGAACTTCAGGGGGAGGTGCAGAAGCAGGTACTTGCATAAACGCACCTAGAATGTTTTGGGAAAAACACGTAAGAAACCAGTAATGTGATTTTACCACTGACTGCGGGAGAGTCGAGTCTTGGATCTTTCAGCTTTGAAATATAATACTGTAAGGTTGTATTATTTGTATAATCAAATATACATAATTATAAATACACACTATGATTCATATCTTGTAATTTTAAGCTTGAAAAATTATACACTTTAATTATGTGATTTTAATTAGACTTTTACCTCAAGTGAACACTAAACTCTCCAAAATGTTACAATATAGCTCTTAAGAAACTCCATAGAGGGTGCCTTGGTGGCTCAGTTGGTTGGTTGAGTGCCCAGCTCTTGTTTTCTGCTCAGGTCATGATCCCATCATCATGAGTTTGAGCCCTACATTGTACTCTGTGCTGAGCATGGAGCCTGCCTGAGCCCTTCTCTTACTCTCACTCTCTCCCCAGCAACCCCTCCCCCTCCAAAAAAATTTTTTAAGTTCCACGGATACTTCAATGAGTACAAGTTTAAATTTCAGGAAAATAAACCTACTTTTATCCCATACAATAAGGCAATACAGGCAAGTTTTCTTCAAAAAAAAATTTAGCATTCTGCCTTTTGTTTTTTAACAAATATAGCATTCTTTATTTCTGTTAACTCTGGCAGAACTAACTTCCTAGGCAAGCTCATGAATTGGCTGCTAAAATTCAGTATTGTTCTTTTCTTTTGTAATATCTGGTCCTTATTTACATAATAAATCAGTGTACCTCTGTTTCTAGGTTGTTTCCATCTTTCTCATTACTCCATAGGTGCTACCCATGCAGTGACTTTTATAATCATATTTAGTATAATTTATAATTTATTTCTGTAAGACTAGCATCAAGGGTCCTCAGTTGTTTTTGAATAATTTTTTTTTCCTTTAGAGGTATGACAAATTTGAAAAGGAATAACCCAGATGGCCCTCCTTTTTATAATATATGTCTTATGTTAAGGAATCCTATATGTATAGGAAAATTTACAAAAAACACTCTACCAGTAGTCCTACTAAAGTATACTATTACCACAAATTTGTCTTAGTTTTCCACACTATTTTAATTTAAAAATTTTGGTGCTGTCATTTCATTTGTATATACCAAGCTATTACCTTTATTGACTGAATTTGAAACTCAAAGTTACCTAGTTTTCGGTTGTAAACCGTAGTGACAAAAAAAAAAGTGATCGACTTATTAACATAAATTCTTATTTGATGACTACTAAGTGCTGTGTACTACATTATATACTGTGTTACACCCTGAGGTCACAGTGGAGCAAGTCTGACATGGTCCCTGCTCTCCCATTACTTGTAGACCTAACGTGGGAGCTTATATTCTGCCAGCAACACTAGCCCTTGTATATGAGTAAAGATTGAATTCTGGTGCAACCACGTACTCAGTGATCCTTAAAAAGTTAAATTTTTCTAAATCTCCTGTTTCCTCATCTCCAAAGAGGAGGTATTGATCTAATGGGATAGGTGAACATCAAATGATATATTCACAATGACGGATGAGCACTTACTGTGTCATATACAGGAAACTACAGCCTTGTGTGGGAGTTCTGTCTTTTGAAGAAATCAGGATGGAGTACTCAAAGACCTCTGACATTCTGACAGAACTAAAGACACTACAGTTTGGTGCTTAGCGTATATTGCTGTGTACTTTAAACTGTGTTTTAGAATTCTTTAAAATATTTGTACTCTGATTATAAGAGTTGCAAAAATACTTGATCTAGGGGCAACTAGGTGGGTCAGTTAAGCATCTGACTTCACCTCAGGTCATGATCTCACAGTTGGTGAGTTTGAGCCCCGCATCAGGTTCTGTGCTCACAGCTCAGAGCCTGGAGCCTGCTTCGGATTCTGTGTCTCCCTCTCTCTCTGCCCCTTCCCCACTTGCACCCTGTCCCTCTCCCTCTCTCTTAAAAAGTAAACAAACATCAAAAAAAAATTTAAAAATACTTGATCTCTATAGAAGTCAAAGATGAGTATAATCACAAATTCCTCCCATTGCAAGCTTGTCATTGTTACACTATTGGTGTGTATGTTTCCAGTATTTTTTTTCTATTTCCTAAATACACATATGTTGTTTATAGAAAACAAATTACAATAATAATGTACAGATTATCTTTTTTAATAAAATATTTTGAGAGACAGCATGCACATAAGCAGGGGAGGGGCAGACCCCAACAGGCTCCATGCTGTCAGCGCAGTGCCCCATGCATTGATCTGTCTCACCAATCACGAGATCATGACTGAGCCAAAATCAAGAGCCAGATGCTTAACTGACTAAGCCACCCCAGGTGCCCCTGTACATATATTTTTTAGAACAAAATTGAGTTAATTTCAAACACTTTTTAATTGAATATGTTTTCCCATGACATTTTTCTATAGTATGATATTTAATGGACAATTTAGCTTTGTTTTTTTACGTTCACATTTTTCGAATA